TGGGATCAATTTTCCGTGCTCAAACTTCTGCAGAAACTGTAGCATTTTAGCAAAAAAAAAAGCAAATCCATGTGGGAAATACCCAATATGACAGGGTTTAGCATGCAATAGATAAATAAAGTGGTGCAATTAATTGGCGAGAGTCTGACCAGGGCGAGTAATGAATGTGTGCAGTGAGAGAGAATGAAGCCTTGTACAATTTGCATCTCAGAACATATTGTGCCTGAGCAAAGTGGTGTAGTTTTGTGGCTGAGTGTGCATGCTAGACTTGGTGGTTCAGTGCTCCTCTTTTGTTAGTAATTAAGTTTTCCAGAGATCTTCATTTATGATAATTGCTCAAAGTTGAAAAGTTGCTGTGGAAGCGCACTGCACGCGGTTTGTTTTCTTTCTGGTGCATTTAATAAAATGTTTTATGTATTAAATAGTGGGGCTCTGCGAGAGGGGCACAACACTCAATGGCATTAGCATTAATTTATCCAACTGATGACGAGAGGAATTAATTCCATATAGTCGTCAGGGAACTCTTAAATTCACCTCCGGCATTAATGTACGAAGGTGTTAAGGATATTTATTGGACTGCGTGAACATTTATTCTCACTCCCTCTCTTTTCCTCCACCTTTTTTTTCTCTCGGCACAATCATTGCGAGGGGGAAGAGAGAGAGAGAGAGAAAAATGCGCCAAAAAGACAGAGTAATAAAAATTCAAATGAACACCAGACCGGAAGTACATTTAGACGATGTCTAAATGTAGAAATTATCAACTCGAGTAATTACACCATCATAATTATATGGCAGCTTAACAAATTCTTTATACGAAATTAATGCTAATTCCGCCACTTCACGATACAATTGTTGAAAATGTGGAAAACCCTGTAATCTTCTACTACATCTCGCGATACTGAACTTCATGTGTGTCCCAGAGAGCGCGACATTCGCGATCAACATGATATTAGAATGTAACAGAAGAGCTTCAATTGTAATGTCAATGGAAGCTATTTTTTCTATAAACAGTCTCGCGATAGAAGAATAGTGTCAATGACAGAGTGTTTTGTGGATGCGAATGAATTATGGAGCGATTCCCATTAAAATTGAAAAATGTTAATCTTGGAAAATTGTGAAATTTGCCAAGATTGTTGAAAATACATGAAAATAATCAGTAAATCTGTGATAAAAAAGATTTACTGCAATTATATTTCATATTTATGCTTCATCTTTGCAAGATATTCTGCAGTTTCCGATCTGTCAAGCTGCTTTTAACACATTTCTTAAAACACCCTTTGAAAGATAATTTAAAATAACACACTGAACACAGTGATTTTTAAACACAAAAGCCTGATTAGTGTGACTAAGGATAGCATAGAGTGTTTTAGACAAATGTAACACATTTTTAACATGCCTTGTTTGAGTGGGAATCGCTCCAGAATGAATTTCAGTAACATTTAGAATAAATTCTTCCCGTGCTCATTCCTTGGCGAATTCCTCCACATTCCGATGATGCTTTGCGAGAGTAGTTTTATTTTGCCCAAGTCTTGAGGTGAACGCGAGCTTGCATTGTAATATATTCACAAGAGCATAAGCATTTTATTGTTGTGAGTTAATTATATTTTGTCATAAATTTAAATTCCCGCCGAGAGATATTAAAGTGGCGCGTCTCGCCATTTTTCCCGTCGCTGCCGCTCATTGTGGAAATGTGTGAGCGCAGGCGTTCACGGAGTGCTTCACGCGGAGGAGAGCTCTTGTCCCCCCGGGTGACAAGACAATAGGATGCCCGGAAAGCATTTGAGGGGGCGCCAAATAATTTGAGTGTCGAATGCGCGCAATCTGAGGCGTGCGAGTGTGTGAGTGCGCGCGCCAAGAATATGGGAGGGATAAGAGACAGGCGTGGTTTGATGGCACTCTTCATCCAATCTTGAGTACCAGCATATAGCGTGTGTGTATCTCTTCAGCTTCGCATCCGAGAAAATCGATGCGCACACAGCATCCCAAAGAGAGAAATCTCACTTCCATTTCGCGCCAACGAAGCGAGAAGTGCCCGCAACAAAAGCGCGCGCCCAGGAAATGCGGGGGAAAATCTGTGAAAACCAACCCCACTTGACACAAATTTTCACCCTCATTTTTCCGGCTAGAAAAATGTGCGAATCAGTGTGACACACAAAGGAGAGTTAGGAGGTCAATTTGATGGTTTTCCCTTTGATAAGAACAATATTGCTCTCACCTTTGCCACCGTCTCAAGACACACTGTGGGGAATTGGCGGGGGCGAAAAGCCACCCTCCGTGGCAACAAAAGGAGAATTTCCACTTTGCCAGCCATGCAAGACAAACGATGTGCCATTTCTTCCCTTCGCCCTCAAGTCGTCTCTCCCTGATGAGGAAGTTCCGGTGCGCTCTTTGTTCCTGGCGCAAAGGAGCTCAGCCTGACGGGCGTGTACTGCTCAATTGTGACCACAAACACTTAGCATTCACGAACTGTAATTACACTTGAGACATGAGAAAACTACTCGCAATGCCACATCCTGGCAAGCTGGCACGCGAAATGCTCGAAATCTTTGTCAATGTCACGAAAATTTTTAGTCCAATTAGTTAATTCTGGAGCATGTTGAAAAGGGCCAAAAATGCAGTGCTGAGGATCAATTTAGCATTCAATTGAGTGATGGTTTCCGGGAACTGGCAAAATGAGCCTGAAAAACCGACTGAAGCAGATTTTTCTTCGAAAATACCACAGAGAGACAGAGAGAGAGAGAGAGAGAAGTTATTACAGGTGTTTTCATGCAGTAAGCAGAAATCAAGTGAAATGGCATTGAATAGGCATATGATATGGCAATGATCTTCTTAATGTGTTCATTTGTCATGCAACTTTTGACAAAGACAAACCCAATTACAATCATGTGAATCTCCTTTTTGCACTATTTGCACAAGCAGTGAAGGCAACAAAAAACAAATCAGAAAATGCGCTTAGGGTGAGAGAACATGACAATAATTGCGGCAATTTGCATTTTATATTAAAAGTTACAAATGTTAACTCATGTAATTTTAGCATTTATCCGTTAATTTTTGCATTATAGAAGACTCTCTTGCCTTTCTCCGGGTGGTTTTTCTTTGCCACAGTCAAAGATGAGCCACACAAAAGATCGTGAGGTGTATTCATGAGTGTCATTTGGCAACAAAGACTGCCTCTTTATATGAGTGACGGATAAAATGCAAGTTTCTTTCGCCTTCTTAAAACTGCAATTTTGCACGGAATTCATGTAAATGCTTAAGGTTGTCATTGAAAAGTCCCGCGTGAGTGTATTGCTGAGTGATTCGAGGCAAGGGGAGAGCCACTAGTCAATTCTTGAGGAATCTTAATGGTCTCAAGCAAATATTGATATTTATTTTGTGTTGAAGAGATCAAATAATCAACATTTGAATAATTTGTTTATAAAAATTTAAATATATTGAAGTATTCGATTATTTTCTCCGCATATCGCCGCCAGAGGGTAGCAAAATCGGCGTGGGGGACGCTAACAAAATCGCCATTTTCACATAATGAAGCATTTTGTCGCAGAAAAAGCTCGATTTCTTCATCAACCAATCAGCTGATGAAGTTTGAAAAGCATGTAGAAGTTTCAGTTGTATTTCCCAAAGGCAAATTTGACGCTTTAAGTTACTCAACATTTAAATAAAATTTAAAAATATTTTATTTTACGGGAATTATTGTATTAAACAATATTAACAGATTATTTAGAGCTGTTTGAACTCTTTAAATTAGCCTTCAAAATATAATCAGAATTTCTATTTGCCTTTAAAGTGTAAACTGCTGCTCCCTGGTGGCAATATGTGGAGAAAATAATCAAAATTTAACTAAAAATCACGGGAAAAAATTGAATAATCACAAAGCAAATGGTCTGAAATCGCGAGTGATTTTCCCTCTGGATTTGAGGGCAAGAGTTTGTGCGCAAGAGGCACGAAAGGGGGATGCAATTGCGCTCTTTCATAGTCACCATTCAGCAATGCACAAAAGCATTAATCGATTCTCCGACTATGAGCCATAAAAACGACTGCATTTCGCCTTGTCATGCTGCGGCCTTTTTTTTATCCTTAAAAATGTCTGGTCTATTTAATTAATTTCAAAAATTCTGTTGTGACAATTGGGAGTGGAGAAAAAGGGGCGCTTTTGAGGGTTTTTCCCCTCTCGATTGGCGCGCGCGTTAATGCAAAAATTGTACCTTGTCATGATCCAGATGCCCGCAAAATGAGACGATAAAATTAACATTATGAGCAACGATTCTTGTTTTTTTGTCAAGACCTCATTCGTCTGTGAAGATTCATTGTTCAACGCTCAGCCATCGTCATTTCTCACCTCAGCAACTATATTATTATAGATTTCTCACTATTAATTTTCGGTAGTTCATCCGTGAGATCAACAGGAGTCGTGGAATGAGACAAGAGAATTCATTGGTGTGATGTTGGTTAAATAAATGGGAACAGACATCAACATTACCGTCACTTTTTTTCAGTTAGAATTTGGGCTTTGAAAAAATATAGCAATTTATATGATCCCATTTGGCTCTTGAATGCCACTGAACGCACAACAATTCATAAAAAGACTTTATGATTGACTGCTGTGAAAATTTCGTTGAGTTTCAATGCAGCGAAAGAGATCTCAAGTGGACAATCTTTCGGTAAATTACAGAAATTTTTCATAAATTCCCCTCTCACGACGCACAAAATGTGAGCCTCTGAGTAAACGTTCACTCCCAAAGCGATGGACGCAGAATAAAAGCATCGCATAGAAGACAATTAATAATAAATTGAAGAAAAAAATGTGTCACGTCACGATATTTAATAGAGTTGAATGTCAACTAACGCTAAACACCATGGCTGTGAATTCACTTCGGGGGCATTTATTGAGATACTTTAATACATTGTGCACTGTTGGAGTGACAAAGAGTGGTATGAAATGGAAGGTATTCTGTGGACGCTGGAGGGAAATTAATGACGCTTAATGGTGTATTTTGTAGGTGCCAAAGATGATGATGGGAGCATAAAGAGTGGAATGGGCATTGGCGGATCATCGGGATTGAGTAAAAAGCAGCGAAAAGCACGAACGGCATTCACAGATCATCAGCTGCAGACGCTGGAGAAGAGTTTCGAGCGACAAAAGTACTTAAGTGTTCAGGATCGCATGGAGTTGGCGAATAAGTTGGGACTGAGTGACACACAAGTGAAGACATGGTACCAAAATCGAAGGTAAATTGATCCTCTCTTTTGTCCGTTCGTCCAATTTTTCGCCTTAATCCGCGTAAAACACTGACACAGTTTTTTTTTCCTCCATTCCAAAATGAAAGCATGAAAATCCCCTCTAAACAACATGAGTCAGTGGATCAGAATCTCATTACTGAGTTTGCGTCTTGTCATCTTGTTTGGTTTTCCTCGGCTTTTCGCCCTTCTTGGCCGGCCGTGCGACTCGTGAAGGCAAAAATAGACAGTGATTGTCTCTAGTTAGAGTCTTTGTTGACGCCGTGACTAATTTAACACCGAAAAGATCCGTGAAGATGGGATTTTTGTGGACTTATAGCCTTGTCAATTGTGCAATCTCTCAAGCACACTAAATGCCTTCTTGTCTCATCCCGTCCAAATTACCAGTGTAAATTGTTTCAATTAACGTGTTGTTGGGTGTTTTCGAGAGAGGTATTTTGTCTAAGAAACACCACAAGGAGATTACTGAGATGATATGCTGCCTCTAATGATGGTAAAATGAAGAATTTCTCGCAGAAGTTTAGACTCCACATCCAAAGGATCCCAATTGTGATCTTTTGTATGCAAAAATACTTGATTTTGTTTAATTACTAGAAATGTTTTCGACTCTAGATGAAGATTTGATGATTTTCGACGTTCTTTCCCTCTCTAAAGTGTGCTGTCTTAAAACGTACGCAAAGTCTAGAGAAAACATTCGACATTGCGTCAATTTGTTGAATAAAGCGAGCCTTTAAGGAAGATAACTTAAACTTCCTGCTTGTCTTTACACAATTGAAGAGTTTTAGTAGCATTAGCCTGAATATTTCTGTCCGATTTTCAGCCAACAGACGGCTAAGTACTTAATAACGCCTCCAAAGAATGGCCAGTGCAGGCCAACAATTGCCCAAAGGGTTCAATTTCAGGGCACTCGCGTGCTGCCGCTCGAGAGCACTTGGGATAACATTTGGCCGGTGTCATTGGCGGAGAGGACCAGCAGACATCTCCGGATGATCGGAGATGGCAGACAAGAGAGCCTGGGAGTGAGTTGCATGTTCGGAAGTAATTGATCTCACCCGCTCAAAGGGAGAGAGAGAAGCGATGGTGTAATTACGCATCTCAGGAGGTTTGTGCAGAAAGAGGCGCCACGGCAGTTGCAATTCCTTGGGAAGAGACGCAGATCGGGCTCATTACCTTCCATTTAGGATGTCTCGGGTATGCCGAAAATGGGCTGGAAGAAGATTAAGTCTATTGGCGCCGGAAAGCGACTCAGCACTTTTGTGTGTGTGGCGTTTGTAATTTCAAAAATGGATAAAACAGTCGGTAAATTAAATGATTCTCTCCTGCGCGCTCGCCTTTCATCAAGGACCATCATGCCGACATTTCTCCCCGCCTCCGCTCGTCTGCCTCCTGACATCCTGAATGACTGGCTGACTTTCTCGTGTGCTCGCGCGGAAGTTGTGTATTTTCCTGGGTGACAACTTGGAAAAAAGGCATCGCTGATTAGAGAGGCAAAAGCTTGGGCATTTGTGCCTAACTATTTGCTGAGCGAATGTGTTGCGCGGCGGCCAACAAGAAGTGCCTTGGCGCGAGGAGGCGAGCACACGATTTGTGAACAAATTGTTTTAAAAACACTCCGGCCGAATGGCTGGAAAGCAATTGGGCATGACTTGACAGAATGCCGCACAAGATGGTGAGAGAGTTCAGCCGAAAATGTGTGAGGAATTGATTTTCGGCCACAAAAGGATCTCGTCGGGTCATCTCACTCTTTCCATTCTCTGTGTGTGCGCCCAGAAACAAGAAGGTCTACTTAACACAAATTACTCGCCAAGATATGGTTTTAATGACTAGTTTACTTTTTTCGTTACTTGATTACACACCCCGACCATGACAGTGAAGATAGCTCGGCGGCCAGGAGAAGAGAGCTTCCTCAACTCCGTGCGCGTTCTTGGGAGATTGATCTACAAAAACACCCTCGACCTCTTTTTGCTCCCTAATCAATCTGCTGCTCAGTTCGGAGAAGTTGGTTTTCGGTGATCATTAATAAACTCTACAAATTGAAATTCCCCGCAGAGACTCTGAAAGTCCATCGCGCGCTGGACTGAGAAATGGCTTGAAAAGACTTCCACATCACACACAGAAATGGTCTTTTTTGTGGCTTCAGTTTTGTCTTTGGCGTAAAAATCGTTGAAAATCCACTGATTGTGTGTTAAAAGTAACATGGTTTTACGCTTCATCACAAATTATATCAAAACTTCTTATGGTCCAAGATGGTAGTTTTCTTCAGACGCGGCGATGCATGAAGCCCATTAGAGTGTGGCTTGCCGTGTATTTATCGCGATATGCAGCTATTTCCCCAATGAAATGTAATCAGCAAATAGATCAATTGTCACTGGCTATGAAGTGGGTGGTTTTGCCTGCTTCTCGCGCTGCTCCGTTAAGGGCTGAACGAGACATTAGCGCGACTAACACGAGAGCCAGAGAGCAACGATATTGAAGTACAAAAGCAACAATTAAATGGCACTTGAAGCGGAACAATTGCGGTTTCATTGGTGTCCATTTGAACGTGCAGCCAGCGTTTATTGTGGCCTAATGGTCGCCTTCTTGCGCTGCTCCACTGATCGCCAATTCAGTTGATCGCCACAAATTCCTTCTGTGATTCTCAAGAAGTCATTTGCGCGCATTCATCATGCGACAGCGAGTGGAAGTGTGATCTTCTGGGCAGGCAAAAGAGCGCACAATTACAATTCTGTCTCCCATTGTGAATGTGAATATGTAATTAGATATAAACGACAATTGAAATTTTGACATTAATATTTTTGTGGCTGCCGCGCACATTAATCACTCGATGTGGTTTTGAGGACCCTCGCATTAAAAAGCATCGGAAAACACACCATCCCCTTTGCCTCACTTCACCCCGTTGCCAGTCTGTCGGCAAATTATTGCATAAAACATCAATTAATACGCATTACTTCCACTCATCTGCATTTTAAATTTATTCAAAAGTCTCACTCTCTCACAGCGATCTCGCGATATGTCACAAATGCAGTAAAATCCGGGAGAGAGAGTCGGGAAATGTGGCGGGAAATCATTGTACAATCCAATTCCCGAGTCTCTCGCGCGCGCTCTGGCCAACAATAAAAATCCCAACTCTCTTTTTGGCAACAGGAAAATTTATGGTTTGCGTAACGCGACAATTTGTCGCGGTCGCTCTTGTTAGCAATTGACAAGAGAAGGAAAAAAAGTATTAATGCGTTCAGAGGGAGAAAAGTGCTCTCATAATTGTGAGCATAATACTCCAAGGGGGAGATATGATGGCTAGAAGTGGTGTACAATTCAGTGGGAAGTATTTGAAAGCAAAAGTGCTTGAATATTTTCAATATGGTGCGTTCAAAAGCTACTTTCAAAAGAAATTAACACAACACTTAGAGAAAAAGAATTGATCACTACATTTTTTAGGTTATGTGATTGATTAAAAACAAGCTTTATCACCATAAATAACCTCCGAAATCATTCATTCTTGCACCTTTGCAATTTAGTGATACAATAATAAATGAAATCTAATGTTAAACTGCTAACATCGAACATAACCTCTAAAATATTGTTTCAGAATACAAAAATTGTCTATTTCAAGAGCTGTTTGATTGATTTTCTACTGTGAAAAAGTAAATTTCAGCTTATTGTCGATTAATTTTGCCTTTAAAACATTCCGAATATGTTTCTTTCAAGAATTCTTAAAGATATCTCAAGGTAAATGTTAGGTTATGTTCAGAAATACACCCAAAAAAGAGTGATTGAAAATTGATTCACGTCAAAATATCTGCTGAAAACTTCAAATATTTCTTAAATACTGTTTCTTTACAAGTTTTAAGGGTTATAAAAGTAAAAAATTGCGTCTTTTCACGTCATAGACTCTTGAATTTGAGGTTATGATACTTTATGCGGTTGGAAAATCTCTTAAAACGTTTGTTTTAAGCACTGCCAAAGTTCTGGAAGTGTCTTAGGTGTAAGGAAGTGATGTACCCTGTTTAGCCATATTATCTCCCCCTTGTAATGCTCACGACACACCAAATACCGCCATTTAATTCATTAAATCACGTTCTGTAGATTGTTTTTGTGCTCGCCTTCAACTCGCGGGGCATTTCTTAAGTTGTGCACACAACACTTAAAGTGATACACTTTCTCAACACACCCTCGAGTGCACGCACGAAGAGTTGTGCAATGGCAAATTGCTTATCATTTTGCCAAGGTTCTCGGGAGTTTTCATCGCACGATTGTTTCGCCACTGATTGGCAAAAAGTGGATCTTTTGGCGAGCTCTTAAATTGGGCGGATTTTTGTTTGAGAGAAAATGCTTCAGGCGCGCGATTTTGAAAAGATTCTGATCTCCAACATTCAAATGCGCACCAATTTTGAACACTCTTCGCGAACTTATCGCGCTGGATTTTCTCACCAATTAGTGGATAAATTCCACTCACCCTTCAAAAATTCATCCACAAAGAGAGTCCAGTGAAAAATCATGCTGGAAAGCCATCAAGAGAGTGATTTACATTGATCGTGATAGCGAGAAAAGAACGGAAATGAGTGTTTTTAGTCAATTAATCTCCGCGCTACACTTTTTCCTTTGCCACTCGAGTGGCGAATTTGCAGCCCGAAATGCGTTTCTGCAATTCAATTGAGTGTGACTAACGTGAACACACACACATGCTCAGCATCGTGAATTAATGATTGATTTAATCCTTTTCAATGGGGGATCATTAACACTGTTGCGACCGAGAGACGAATGATAAATTACATCATGCATTGCGCCGTTTGCTGACCATTGTCGGGTGGTTTTGGTGTGCCGCCGACCTTGGCAAATGCATTTGCACTCTGGCATTCGCGCCTCGAGAGCCGCGAATTCTTATCGCTTTTCCACCACCACCGATATTCGGTAGCTGAGCAACAATATCAATTAAATTGGCTTTCGCCGGTTGGAAGGAAAATCACGCTGTGGCCGAACGAACAATGGCAAAGAAGTTGAGATTTTTGTTGCAAGCGCGAAACACAATTTACATGATTGATGACGGTGTTAATGCTATACATTCTCCTCTAGATATTGTACGTGGTGCAAAATGGTCGTAATGGGCAAAATTTGTACTCTCCGCGATATTCCTCTCCTCCTGTTTAATTAAGAAATAATCACCGTTTATCACTTTGTGCGATTATTGATCGTTAAATGTGCTGCAGATTGCACGATCGTGGCGGTCAGATGGTCATAAAAGACTACCATTGCCAGGCCTTTTCGGACTGCGTCTGATCCGGGGTGGATAAGTGGCGAGGCAACAAGAGAAATTTTCCACCTCAGATGAACTCCATAAAAGCTACCTTTTCCACGCTAATTGTCCACCTCTTGACGTCTTATTGCACAATCGTGAGGCTCTTCCACAGATCTCACCGCCAATTTCGGGTGTACGGCGTTTACAAATTGAATAAATGATACCTGAGAGCGCTTGTGCATATGCACAAGATACACTGGTTGCCAATGAAATAAGACACATGAATTGGTGGATAACAATGAGACTTCTTAAGCACTTTAAGTGGATGGAAAAGCATAATTAACAGCAGTGAAATCTCTAATTGCTCTTGTGAAACACCAAAAACAGCTAAAAAGAAGCCTTCGAGTCATAGAAAATGCCTGAAAATCATGTAAAGTGTCAAAATGTTGACTGATTAATTATTAGAAACTATACTCAAGGGGGAGATAATACAGCTGAATTCACAGACACTTCCAGAACTTCAGCAGTGCTTAAAACATGCGTTTTGCGTCTTAAACCCTGAAAACTTATAGAGAAACAATATTTAAGGAATATTTGAAGTTTCCAGCAGATATTTTGATGTGATTTTTATTAACAATCAAAAGAAAACCTTAAAATTACCGTAAGATATCTACAAGGATTTAAAAGAAAAAGAAAATAAGTCAACAATGAGCTGAATTTTGCTATTTTAGAGTGGAAAATCAATAAAACAGCTCAACTTTGCTATGGACAATGAATTATACAAATCGACAAAGATAATCTAGAGAAGCAAAGGGATTTTTATTAAAGAAAATAGTGTGAAAAACATCTCAAACTTGACTGTGTTTCAAGAGTCTTTTACGGCTCAAATGAGTCTAATATTCCTATTCAGACTCAAGAAGAAAGTCCCAAAAATTCTCGTGCTCCAATTCATTTGGCGACAACTGTATCGAAACCACCAATAAGCCGTTACACTTTTCCCACCGGGGTAAAGTCTGTCTTTAGCAGTGCACTGGAACAATTAAGTTGCAGCACCAAATTGTGGCGGGGCAGTAAAACGTTCAGCAAATGGCCACGGTTTTATTTGACCTTATACAGCTCCTAATCACGAAAATTGCCACATGGAACCGCACATGCGAGTGTGTAGGAAGAGACTATTAAAATATAATTTGCAGCGGCGGGAGGATGTTGAGTGCATGTAATTTCTTGCAATGCTGAGAGGGACAAGAGTTTTCCCCAATGGGATTGTGTGCTGGATTCAGCAGTTCGTATTTAGCCTCGAGACATGAAAATGCTGACCACATTGGGCTGAAGAGAGCGCGCAATTTTTCATCAAACACCGGCGCGAGTAAATTCACTCTCTTGCAATGCTGCGCGATGCAGTTGTGTGCCTGCCGACAACAATCCCGCGATAATGTATGCGGGGAGTTGCTATAATTTTGTCTGATGCTTCGCGTTCACTCTTTTTTTTCCCCTTTCCGCGCTAAACACTTGCGTGCCGATGCTTGTTCATACTTTGTTTGCAAATCCACCATGTCGGCCATTGGTAATATGGAAGCACTTAAATCGCTACCGTTCAGCCGTTCAGCCGCGGCTCGTGAGCGCGCGCGGGGAATGGGCGCAGAAAAAGGGCAGCGAACCACCCCCAAAGATAATTGCCAGTGTTGCAATCTAAGCGTATGTTTGCCATACTCGCCCGCCAGAGTGCACTTAACTCCCCCTTTTTCGCATCGTGATCTTCGCCATGAACATCAATCATAATTATGTGGAATTGGGGAGAAATGCCAGAAATGCAGGGTGGAATGCGAGGAATTCCCTCCTGTCACATTATACCTGCACTATACGGAAAAGCGGAAAAACTGGAGGAAATTAGCTATGCCAGCTTTCCCACATCAAGATTGACATGAACTTTTGCATGATGTTTTACAGCCAAGGGTACAAAATGCCTCACTTAAACGCAACCGGTCGGATGAAACTCATTTGAAACTCCTCTAAATTATCCCAGAAAATAATGAGAAGTAATATTTTGGCCCGCAATTCGCCTTGTTGTTCCCTAAACTCCCTCTTATCGTGCATTAAATTGCTAATACTTCACTATTCTTGTAATTTCACGTGACCTCCAATTGATTTCAGGGATATTTATTGTAATAACTCACTGAAATATGAATAGTTGAGAGACGAACTTGATAATGTGAAGTACAAAATATTGATTTTTCTTCAATTATTCCAGAAAAATCAATTTTTTTTCATTCGAAAATAGTGAAAAGAGTCAATTAGCAGCGCAAAGAGACATTTTAGCCAATCACTGTTGTTTTTGGAGTCATAAAACCCAAAAAGAAACCATAAAAACTCAACTTTTGCTAGTCTTCGAGGCACCTGTCCAAGTGCTGTTCTGTGAATCAGAGAATATACCCTTGAATGACTCCCTTTTCCTGTCCCATTAAAATTTCTAAACGATAGAAAACAGCCCCTGCGTTTCCCTTGTGTTTGGGTCTTATGCGAAAATTACATGTAATTGAGCACAAACATATTAGCAGATAGACACCAACCCTTGCGCACTCGCACGGGGTGGAAGTTCAACAAACCGCCCACTCACCATCAATCGCCGCCTCATTTGCATGTTGTATCCGCTGGAAATCGTTTTATGCTTTCGCTCGCTGATATTTGCTGCGGAGCTCCCAAGTATTTTTGCAAAATTGGAGCCGTGAATAAATAATGGCGTGAGCCTCTCCGTTCGGCGCCCCGCACTTCGCTATTCAGCGCGAGTCGCGCCATGTTCGCCTATATAATGCGATTAGAGTGCGTTTGGGGGGAAATTCTCGCGCTTTTGGACGCGCGGAGCGATATTAAATATTTAGAGGGGCGAAATTGGGATTTGGTGTGACTTTGTGCGCCTCTGGGATTCACTTTGGCTCTTCTTTTTCGCCTGCAGAACCAAGTGGAAGCGACAGACTGCAGTGGGATTGGAGCTGCTGGCGGAGGCTGGCAATTACGCCGCCTTCCAGCGCCTCTACGGCGGCCCTGCATACCTGGGCGGGTGGCCGTATCCATCACAAGCTCCTCCCGGAGCGCCGCCGTCCGCCGCCGATCTGTACTACCGCCAGGCGGCCGCCGCGGCCCTGCAGAAGCCGCTGCCGTACCGCCTGTACCCGGGCGTGCCGGGACTGGGCTCCCTGGGCAGCATCCCCGGCCCCAGCGCCCCCTTTCCCCACCTCGCCGCCTCCAACTCGCTCTCCTCCCTCAGCAGCTACTACCAGAACAACAACAACAGCAGTAGCAACAACAACAACGGGCCCGCCAGCAATCCCAGCGCCAACAGACGGTCGCCCAGCCCGCCGCTGAACCCCGGCAGCCCGCCGGGGCGCTCTGAGAGCAACCCCGCGTCCGACGAGGAGGACACAATACAGGTGTGAGCGCGCCCCAAAATGCTTTGTGATTTTACATTAAAAACACTGTGTAAAAAGGACGGTTAATTACAACTTAAATGTAACTTAACATTTACTAAAAAGAAAGAAAAACTTAATGTGGTAAGCGAGAGAGGTGGGCAAAAATGTACAGGAATTGAGATTCAAGCAGGAGAGTTTGGAAGAAGGACAAAAGAATAAATTTTCTACGAAAATTTCCTTTATTGGCAAAGCAATGTCAGTGAGATGGAAAAATGAGGCTCACTGAAAATTACTCTAATAGACTCTGACCGAATAGAAAATACTCAAGCAACAAATCCATCAGTATAATTTGTAGATAAATCTTTCCGTGTGTTTTTTTTTCAACTCTTAGTTGACAAATTATTTTGTCATTTAGCTATCATCAACTGCGGATATTACAAATAAAGCAGCGCATTTAACAGAATTGTTTTATACCTCCCAAATTTCTTTATACACATCAAACCAATAGCCTGATTTTAGTTGGACAACAACAATGTTTTTTTTTGCAACAGACCATCAAACACAAACCCAATAAACTCGTGAGATCAACAAGCAGTATTATTGAGAGAATCAACTACAAAGTTCTTGCATATTTAGATAAATGAAGAAAAAGTGAAGAGTGTGAAGTGTATACTAACTTAGACGAAAAAAAGGAGTATATAAAGTAAAGTAGGTAATAACCTTTTGTAATTACAAACTATTCGTTTTGTATTAGGGGTGAAATGCAGGGTGAAGAAATGTTTAAGACACACACTTTGGCAGTTCTCAAGTTTCCTTTCAATTTTTGCAAAAAAAATGGCTAAAAGAAGAAGAAAAAACTACCCTGACCTCTCCAATTTTTTAGTACAGAAGACACTCAAGACCCTTAAACTAAATGAAATGATGTCAGAAGGCAGAATAGGTGAAGACATAAAGTAAGATTTTTGTACACAATCCCCAAAGAAGACATATTTTTATGTATATTTAGTGACAGACTTTTGACTTCAGAGAAATGGAGATATTAAACTGGAGCGAGTGTAACGCAAATTTTAGAGTATATAAAAAAAATAGTAGACGTACTAATTGCTAAATGGAGAAAAATATTTTAAATGAAGCAAAAAAAAAAATGATATTCCTTGTAAAAACGATACAAAATGATGAATTATAGTGGAAGTTATGAAGTTTCGCAATAGGTTTTCCTTTCCCCCCCTTTAACTTTTCCATATTTTGTGTACCTCTCGAGGAAATAATATGCAAAAGGTTTTAAGAGAAATATTATTTATTAGTTGAAAAAAAGTGAGATGAAGCGTATATTTTATTTTGAGAAGATATGCGATGCAATTGATGACACCACGTAATGAAAATTTATGTTTATATAGACGTGAATGTAAGAAAAATTTAAAATGACGTATAAATAAAAGGCATATAACAAAGCGAAAGCATTATTCATTTGTCTTCCCTCAAGGCAGCAAAACATGTGCCAAAAAAAAATGATTACAACCACATGGCGATCGCCTAACGCTCGAGGCAAGGGGGAAATGATATGCCTCGATCCTGTACACTACTTTCTGACACTTCCTTAGCCTCTGTTCAGATTTCTTCTGACTTCTGAACGTCTTTCAATGCATTTTTCATCGCTTTTCCGACTCCTTCAACTGTTTCTTACACGCATTTCTAACTTATCACAATCTAATCCATGTTTATCCGTGTCAAGGGGTTTAATCTCTTCAAATGCTTAGATATACTATTTGTTCGTGAACAATTTCTGTCTTTATTTCCTATTTTAGTCCTCGAAAAATGCCTAGAAAAATTCTGACCAAATTGTGAATATTACAATATTAAAAAATCAAATAACTAAGAAAAGAGACATTCTTCTAAGATAAAATTACATTTTTGAGGTTATGTTTGATTCTAAAGCTGTTTTTACTTCAAAAATTAACCCAATTTGAAGTTTTCCGAACACAAATTCTCACGTTTATCGATATAAAAGAAATATTCCCAGTTTAAACACAATTTTGATGATTCAGAGGGTTATTTAATCACCAAAATCTGTTTTAAAGGTTTTTATATCAAGGAGATAACCTAGAAAAGCAATAAAATGAGATTTTCTAAGCAAAATAATTTAGAAAATGCCTCAATTTGTTCAAACTGAAGCCTTTGCGATGTGAATATTTTACCACTTCTAATTCCTTGCACTTCCTTAATGCTGTACACCACTTTCGACCATAATGTCTGCCTCTTGGCTTGACGGATTAAATTGAATTTTGATAATGATCCCCAATTGTTGACGCGCTGCTGTGATGTGACGACCATGTGTCAAAATATTATATTTACCATCGAAGTCGTGCTGCTCACGCGTGAAGAATTTACAGATAGTGTGGAGAAGTTTCACGCTTGGTCACCTTTTCCAAGTGGCCACAAATTCAATTACCGCGAACAGGAGCCGATGAAGGGTGCACAATTAATTTCCACGCTGCACAAACATCACTAATTTGATTAATTTTAATGACGTCCGCGAGGGGAATGAAATTGTTGACATTCTGGGACCACACAAAGTCCACACTTTCATCCGGACCACCGCATTTTCCGGGAACTCTTTCAAATGCACGGCGAAGAAGTGTATAGCTAATGAATTACTTGTTGGACAAAAGGTGAGTTGCATCCTTAATTAGAACACATTGCATTATGGATATTTCTTCAGGCATTGGAGGAATGGTTTTTTTGCATCTCTTGGCACGATAAAGAAGCGCATTCGTTATAAAAATTTGAATAATAACACGATTAAGAGTCTCATGCGAATGGATATTCTCTGGGATGATCGGTTTTGCCTTCCCAGGAGAGCAATTTTGAAGCTCTCTTGTCATTCAAGTGAAAAGGAAAAACCACCTGTGAGTGTTTCCGCGATGAATTGTGCATCATCATTGAGCCAATGGGTTGATTGTCGGGCATTTCTGCCTGTCACACGCCACGAGGGTGGTTTTAGTAGATGACTAAATGGAAATTCCGTCGCCGTCGCCAACCCTCCGCGGCACAATGGAGGGGTGACAGCCGAGCGTAGTGTTTATAGCCGCTAATGCTCTTCATTATTGTTCGATCATGAGAAAATTATTGGGGTGGATTATATAATTTTCCCGCAATGTGCAGAGCATGACGCTGGCCTTCGCGCAAGGGATGCTTTTTCCCTGTAGTCGGCGGCTCTATTATGGAAAATAGGACATCGCATCGCCTGTGCGGAATGAATCCGTTGCTCTCCAGTGAGAAAAGTGGCTGGAAATTAAGTGTGCGAGCGCAAATAAATTGGTAGTTGCGAGTTCGCCGCCACTATTTTGCTGTTCTGCACAAATTTTCTCTGTGCGCGCGTCAGACAATTCTCACCAAAGCCAATTCCCTTCATTTACTAGGGTGACAACAACGACAGCGAGGGATTCGTGCTGAAAAATGGCAGTGGAAATTAATGAATATGTAATGGATGCCATTCACAAAAAGAAATTACGTCCGGTTCTGAACAAATGCAATTAAAAAAAAGTATATAATTTTGAGTGAATTTTCCCATGTTAAATATCGCTCAAAAGTCGATATGAATGCAGAATTTTGCAAGGTGTTCTCATGCAGATTGAGAGCTTTTTTGCTTCTAAAACTAAAAAAAAAAACACTTTATTCATTCTAAGAAATTTTATTTATCCGCAAAGCACGAATGTAAAAAATGTTCATGCTTTGCTGTACATTTTTCCTATGAAAATTGTCTCAAAAATTGCAGTTTTTCGTTTAAAACGGTCTCTTTGATTTTGAATAAATATATTTTGTCATATCTTTCAATTTATTCACTTGAGAAGATGATTTTTTGGAACTTTTTTGGATAAAAATAAGCAGAAAACTATTAAAAAACGACTTTTCAGTCAAAAAACTAACAAAAGTAACTGAAAAATCCTCAAAATAATGATTACAGAGCAATATTAGCACTCTTATCATAGATTGGAAGGTGTTTTGAGGATTTTTAGGTAAATTTCGCAGCAGTTTTGAAGCCATCAAGCAGTTTTTCAGCATCAAAGCGCCTCTTTAGAGATCAAAAAACATCCAGTCATGGAAAATTATATTTATTAAAAGCAAATATTTTGCCACTCTTGTTTTCTACAAATTTTAAGCATAACAATTATTTCTCCAAAACTATTTTGTACTCACTTAGCTCACATTCATTCACTCTCAATCATTCATCACGCTATAAATTGCCCCTGAAGAAATATATCATTTCGTCTGCATTAATTAAACATCTAAAACTTTTATAAATTCCTTGCAGTGCAAATGAGCCAAAAATGAATAAGTCCAGCAAAGTCGGTTACATGGCGCGTCTTGGGCTTTTCTTCACTGAAAGGCATTACGATTTATTTACGATTGCGTTGAGTAATGGATTTCTTTCGAGGGAGTTGAAGGCTCTTCAGCGCTAATTGTCTCCACTTAATTGTTAAGTCTGCGCTTCTCTTCACAAATAATGTTTGTAGATAAATAAAGTAAGAAATATATACAACTTTTCATGCTGATAATCTCGTGCGTTGTACAAAATGGGAAAATTCTATTGCATGACAACATCTAAATTGTTCCATTTGTCTGAGAAAAAATACCTGAATTTTTATATAATATCCCAAAAGAGGTAAGAGAGAAATATTTTTTAAATAATTCACTTTGAAGAATGATACTCGGACGCTTTATTTTCGTTGATTTGTGTGTTGTTTTTGGGAGTAAATTAACTGTTCTCTTTTCCACCAAATTCATTATTTACTCTGGGCCTTTTTGTCTGTTCAGACTGTATTTTTTTTTCTTAATTAAATTCCAGCAATTTTCAGAGTGACAAAATACCGTAACAGTTTTTTTTTTCACCTCACAAGAGAAGTTAAATAAAAAATTCATTCCGGTGTTTTCTTTCTCCCTCACATTTGGAAGTTTGTTAATTGTATTCTGCAATTTTTATATATATGCTGTCATAAGAGATAAAATTTCTGTGTTTTATTGCTTTTGCGTCATTCACACTGGCGAACACGTCAAAAATCACCACCCACGCTCTGCGCAGCTTAAACACCCATTGAGAGATTTACGCGCGAAATGCGGTGAATATTTTGAATGCAGAATTAACGAGAACAATTAGCAAATTGTGCATAAATTAAGTGACCATTTTTGTATGTTGACGGTTTCATTATATCCTCTCTATGACATAAAATAATAATAATGCAAAGTGCTCCGAAATGGCCAGTGAAAGAGAGAAAAATTAAATTCATAACTTCCCGGAAGTGTGATAAAATCTCTGATTTGAAAATAAGCCGCGATCGTGCGTCAAAGGTAGTAATAGAAGTGAAATTTTGGGTTGCACTGCAAAAGCAAATAGAGAGCAAAGTGTGATTAAGAGTGGAAAAAAGGGAGGAAAAAAGAGGGAACTCAACATCAAACTAAGTGTGTCCCCTTCTTGTTATTTGCTAGAGAGCACGATAAGAGTGCAATTATGAGGAATAAATTTATGACAGTTGTAATATCGCGTCAGTGCGGTTTGTCATAATAAGTTTTGCACCTGTCCTCGTTTAACCGCATTTCTTGATCGCACACAAACGAGTCTCAACTTTGGGGTGCACTCGAGGGGAAACTCCGCCATCCGCAGAGACAAATTGGAGGGGGAGAGAAAACGCACTCACATAATTCTCAGCAATGCCGAAGTGAAGTGAATTAATTATTCAATCACACAGATAATCATCCACAATTTCTCACACATTTTTGTAGCTCTTCGTGTAATTTAATTGTGAAGGAACTAAAATTCACTCTCATCGCAATCTCATTGGCGATATCCGAAAATATTTGTGGTATTTTTGTTCCATTGAAATCGCGCAACTCCCACAAAATATGTACAATATCAATCGAAATATAATCTCAGCATTAAATCAGTGCATTTTCCCATGAAACCCAAAGAATGCCTAACGAATGTATAAGAAGAAATTTCCGTACATGATGATGTGCGATGCCCCCAAAGTGGGGAAACTATCATGTGCGATCAGTTACGATTACTCAATGGTCTCAAGTGAAAATTCTCCAGCAAATTGAAATGGGAATTGATTCCCTTTTATGTAAGCCATAGACAAAGTCGTCCAAATGATCATCAGAATCCCATTGTTTGCGTGAGCGCGCCGATGATTTTCCTCCACCGGAAACTTACGCAACGCGCACATGATTGAAAAACTATTAGCAAATTCCATTGATGAAAAGGAGTGATTTTCAAATTTAAACGCAATAATTCAAATTGTAATTAAAATGCCACACACACACACAATCGGCATCTTTTTTCCCATCAGACGCACAACTCCAGAGAGTGAGTGAGAGAGGAGGATTTTAGCATTCGAAAAAGATCAACAGCGCGATGATTCCAGGGTGATTCTTTTTAATTTGAAATTCCTCCTCA